AAAGAAGAATGAAATTATAGCATTTTCTGGTAAATGGATGGAACTGGAGAATATCATGCTAAGTACCCAAAAACCAAAGGCAGAATGTTCTCTCCTATATGTGGATGCTAACCCACAACAAGGGAAGATTAGAAGTTCATTGTACTAGACAAAGGGGAATGAAGGGAAGGGAGGGGTGACATAACAGGAAAGACAATAGAATGAATTGGACATATCTTTCCTATCCTCACGTATAAATACATGACCAATGTAACTCCACATCATGTACAACCACAATAATGAGATCCTAACTGGAACAAGTTATAATTATTCTATGTATATATAATATTTCAAAATATACTTCACTGTGATGTAAAAATAATAATAAAAATGATGAAAAAGAAATTTAAATTGAAAAATATGTTTTAAGCTACTGTTTGTGGCAATTTGTCACACAGAAATAGATAACTAATACAATTAAATAGAATGTTTGGTTAGTTTAATTTTTAGTATATAACATTTCCAGATTGAGGAAGTTCCTTTCTGTTTCTGGTTTGGTATGACTTTTTTTTTTTTTTTTTAACTCAGGGGTACTCAACCAGTGAGCCACATCCCCAGCCCTATTTTGTATTTGGTCTCACTGAGTTGCTTAGTGCCTTGCAATTACTGAGGCGGGCTTTGAACTCAAGATTCTCCTGTCTCAGCCTCCCAAGCCACTGGGATTACAGGCATGTGCCACCATATCCGGGTGACTTTTTTTTTAATCAAAATTATGATTTAGGGCATATAGAGTGCTTGCTCCTATATTTATTGAAAAAATATACAATTTTTATCATTGTGTTTATCAATGTAACAAATTGAATTAGAAGTTTTTGTTATTTTGAATATATTTAGATATGTTTCTAGGATGAATCACAGTTGATTACAAAATGATTCTTTTACAATTATGCTGAATTTCTTTGTCCATATTTCCTTTTCCTGAATTATTCTCATCTGGTCTTAGAGCCACAGTTCTACTGCCTTTATTAAATTTTATTTTAATGTTTACAATGATCTTAGCAATTATTTCTCCTTTTCTATTTTCTAGGGATATGAATATAAAATAGGAATTATATAATTTTACATAATCATATAAAATAGGAATAAAATATTTCTTGATTTGTACAACTGGCACATAAATTATTTGGGGCTGATTTGTGTTTCAGGGTAAACCTCTGACTACAATTTGAATACCTTAAACATTTATTGGTATAGCTAAATGATTCTCCTTTCTGGTTGAGTTTGCTGGTTGAGTTTTCTTCTGTTGGTTGAAAAATGTCTTATTTATTATTATGGTTATTTCATTTAAAACCTATGTTAATGTTTTTTTAAACTTCTAAATAACACACGAGATTCATTTTGCAAATTAAGGAAAGCATTAATACACAAGACTGCTATTTCTCTATTCTCACATAAGTTTAGGAGTGTATTTCTGCAGAACTAACCATTGGTTGATATCTGGGAATTTGTCTTTTGAAATATTCCCTGTGTTACTGATTGAAAAGGTTGATTGATACACCTGGGACACCGAACACTGATGTATCTCATCGGATTGTGTAAATAATATGGTTTATGGTGAATACTGCTTTCCTTCAGGGAGCAGTAAATTTTATAAATTGTGAATGCTTGTGTAGGCAGAGAGTGCCTGCATGACCAGTCCCTAATAAGTTTTGGAGTTTAAATCTTAAGTGGGCTTCCTTTGGCAAAAACATTGTAAATTTGAGCCAGTTACTGTGGTTTATTACTGCAAATAGAAGCTTAGTCTGTGTAACTCCCCATCTTGACTTTCTTCCCCTACTTATGAAAAAGAAAATTTTAATTACCTGTGAACCTCTCGACTCCATCCCCTGCATCTTCTTCCTTTGACAATTTATAATAAACAAAAGCCATGTGTGCAAATGCCATCAAGTGCAGTGGGTTATTCTAATTAAATTATTGAATACAGATGTATGGATCCTGCCCCCAAACACGTGGATTTTTGTTATTTTCTCTTTCTCATTTGTAACATTTTTTAAAACTTATTTATTTATTTATTTATCTATCTATCTATTTATTTATTTATTTATATGTGGTGCTGAGGATTGAACCCAGGGCCTTACCCCAGCCCTCTTTTGGAACAATTTTAAAACAATAAAAAATTAGCAAAATCATTCTTACCATATTTCTGGTAGTACTTCCTGGATGTGTTTTCTTCACATTTGAGTACTTTCTCCAAGTGTTTTGAGGCCTCTATACCTGAGAATATTTGTATTTTATTCTCACATTTGAATGATATTTTGACTGCATATAGAGTTTTAGAGTCAATGCTCTTTTCCATTAACATTATAATATTATTCTCTTTTATCATTGTTAAAAATTATGACATAAGTCAAATGTTTATTTCTTTGTAAGTCATCTCCTTTTTGCCTAAAAGTGTTTAGAATTTTCTCTCTGTGTGTGTGTGTGCGCACATGCACGTGTGTTTCAGTGCTAGGTATTGAAGCTGAGGCCTCACACATGCTGGATATGTGCTCTACTACTGGATCACAACCTCAGCCTCTTTCTTTGGTATTCTTAAATTTCTCTACAATATAAACACATTGTAATTTCTTATGACAGAAATAGACAACTAATACAACATCTTCATAAGAATAAGCCATTTCAATCTAAGAGCTGGCACTCTGTAATCACTTTCAATCAAAGTGCTTTACTTTTTTCTATTTTTAATATTTATTTTTTAGTTGTAGTTGGACACAATACCTTTATTTTATTTTTATGTAGTGTTGAGGATCAAACCCAGGGCCTCACATGTGCTAGGTGAGAGCTCTACCGCTGAGCTACAACACCAGCACCTGTTATTTCTTCACATAATTCTTCCCACCCATTTTTGTCTCTTTTCTGGGTTACTTAATAGCACATACCAGAATTTCTGTTTTGCCTTCTATATTGCTATCCATACAGCCATCTTCATAAAAAAATTCAACTTATTAATTCATTATACAGTTGGATCTAATTTTCCTACCTGTTGTGTTCTTTAACTGGAATATTTTCTCAGAGCTAATATTTTTATAAGGTTCTTGTTACAATTTATTTTTATTCCTTAATAAAAATAACTTCATCTCATTAAGCATAGTTGCTGTACTTATTTTAAATTAAAGTAAATCCATATGCCACCGGACATAATTGTGTTAAATGACATAAATATTCAGTTTATTATCTCTCTTACAGTGGATATGACTAGGATGTAGTTACTGCAGAAATACTGAGAAGGGTATGAAGGCATGCCTCAGACTATAAAAGTCCCACCTACCTGGGAGGGAAGCCTGCTGAGTTGTTGTGAGTTACCCTATGGAGAGGGATAGATAGCAAGGAACTCAGAAATTCCCACATCCAATAAGTTGTGAGGAACTAAATCTTGTCAATAGATACATTAGTGTAATTAGATCTCCAGCAGATCCTTCATGTGGAGTCTGTTTTCTGGCCAACATCTTTACTGCATATCTAATAAGAGACCTGAGTCAGAGGGTATTCAGCTTATATGTGCCAGAATTCCTGGCCTACAGAAACTTCAAAATAATAAATGATTGTGGTTGTAAGCTGATAAATTTTATGGTAATTTGTCATAATACAGTAGATAGCTAATACATATTTTAGTACAATAAGTGAACTGTTGTCATATCAAATAGCTAAATTTTGTGAATAGTTTTAGAACTGAGCATGGGGAAGGGGTTGGGAAGACTTTGATATACATATAGGGAAAGTTTATAGTGCCTTGAATGCACTCTTCATAGAAATTTGAATTTTGAGGAGGATGCCTCTGAGAGTCTAAATGAAAGGAAGGTCAATCTTCCACTGGAAGATGGAATTAAAGGGATGATTGTTATGTACTGGCAGAAAGTCCCCCAAACTCCATGTGTTAGAAAGTTTATCCCAAATCCAACAGCATTAGTGGTAGAGCCTTTAAGAGTTTATCAGGTCATGAGGGCTCTGCCTTCATGCATTAATATCATTATCATGGGACTCAGTTATCACAGGAGTTGTTTCCTGATAAAAGGATGAATGAGTTTTTTTAATATTTATTTTTTAGTTATAGTTGGACACGATACCTTTATTTTATTTATTTTATGTGGTGCTGAGGATCAAACAAAGGGCCTCACACATGCTAGGCGAGCTCTAGAACTCTTTTCCATTAACATTATAATATAATTCTCTTTTTATCATTGTTAAAAAGTGTTGTGGCTTATCGGTAGAGCTGAAATATTGATTGTTAATATAATTTCCCCCCTCCTCATATCCAACTTACACATTTTGGAAACTCCCAGTAAATTTGCAAAGAAGTTTAGAGGTCCTGTATAAACAAATAAGTAGTGGGAACAAGACTTTTAAAAAATATTTATAGACTGTATATATTCATAGGATTGTGGAACCTAAGGCATTTGAATTCACTACATACATTTGCATTTCCTTTTGTATGGTTTTTAAGTGTTCTTAGTTTATTTCCTAAATGTTCATTTTGAATCCTAATCCAAGTTCCCTAACAAAAGACAATGTATTTCATCTCCGTAAATGTTTTTGCTCTTTGGACTTTTTAAACCATGAATTTATCATTTAGAAATATCTTTGCTTCAATCTCAATCTCCCTGCTTCCCTACCTTTCAAGATATCTTCTGATGTGTAGATATTGCTCTTCACTTAGCTCAATCCCCAGACCTTTTCTACTTTAAAAAATTAAAGACATGGGCTGGGGATGTGGCTCAAGCAGTAGCTCGCTCGCCTGGCATGCGCGGGGCCAGGGTTCGATCCTCAGCACCACATAAAAATATAGATGTTGTGTCCGCCGAAAACAGAAAAATAAATATTAAAAAATCTCTCTCTCTCTTTTAAAAAAATTAAAGACAATTTCTTTTTAATACATATATTTGTTGAGTCACAAAGTAGGACTGCTTGCTTTTATATCCAAAGATTGGTAAGCTCCACAATGCATTCCATTATACACGATCTCATCTAATAGATTTCATTTATAACATCCAAGAAAATTTCACATTTTAATTGTTAGCAATACTTACATAGCACATACTGTTAAAAACCATCTCATTCATATTATGACAAGTTTTTTTTACCGAAACATGTATACATACAGCATTATTACCAGAAAAGAATTTTGCTTCAAACATATATATTAATTAATATTAATTTCAAGCAATCTATAACTTAAGCAAAACTTCAGGAGATGGGGTTATTAGGTAGTTGGGACTTATTTTCTTCTCCTTTTTATAAAACACATATTGCCTACATTTCAACACATCTAGATATTTTGTTACAGTCAGTACTTACACTGTTACATGTGCTATGATTATGCAATCTTTTTCTTATCTTCAATGCAAACATTACTAGCCGGAAAATAAAACTACCATATTATATGCCTGATATCAAGGTTCTTATCTTTATATTCATCTGGCCATCTTTCATAGGTAAATGATCAGTATAGAACTTTTATTTAGTCACATCCATCAGCAATCCAAAGGTTGTTGGTAAATAAAATGAAGATGTAAAATACATGATGGTTTTGCTTTCACTGTACACCAAACAAAACAAATACACAAAGAAAGGGAAAAAAAAAACTATCACCAAGTTGCTTATATAATGAAACTATAGGCAACTGTCAAACAATGAACAGTTGGATTAACAGAACTATGACATGAACTCTTGTTTTAGAGTTGTTGTACAATTATCATTCTCCTCCTCCCCTTTCACTTCCTGTCATTTTGCAGCATGTCATTTTGTTGCCTATGGTTTTACTTCATCTTGTTTTCACATCTAATTTCTTCTTATTTCATGTTGTTCCATTTCTTGTTCTTTCTTGTCATGTTGCTTTGTTTCAGATGGTGCCCTCCGATTGTCAGTTTACAATATTTTAAGAAATAAGATCAGGAGGGCTATGAAATATATTTTTCTCTTGATCTCTTTGATACTCTTCCAGGGCTCTCTGCAGTTTGCGGCCCCTCAGCTTCCACTTGTGAAAACAGTATGTCACAAAGGAGGTCATTACCAATGAGAAAATAATTATCAACACTATTATCAGGGCCACCATGGAGGAGAGGGGAGCATCCAGATGGGTGGCTTCAGCCTGGATGGTTGCATTCATCTTATTAATATTCTCATAGTCCTCAGAAGTCCAGAAGGCAGGCATGAATCCTAAGTTGAAGGATGATCTCATTGGAAGAAAAGGCAACAATGAAACTTGTTCTCTCACAGTCCCCAACTTGAAGATGACTAAAGAAGACTTGACTTGGATTCTCTCATATGAAAAATGAATGCAATCTCCAGTATGCTACTTCAGGAGCTGGTTTAAAAAAAGTGGAGTCAATTTTCTATTAATATTTGTCTACAGCAGATAAACTAAAGTTTTAAAATGGCAAGAGTGCCTGCAACATATACAAGATGCAAATAACTCATTGAATGTAGCATGGCATATTAGTGACTTTACAAGAAAGGTATTAGCAGAACCCTGTCTCCTGCTTCTTTGATGTTAGTTCTCATTAACATTATATTCTGGCAGCAAGAATATCATTCCTTAATGTGCTTTTAATCAGAAATTAAGTGTTTTCTAAAATAGTAGAAAATTAGGAACCTAGAAAAACAAGTTGAGCCAAAATGGCATGAATTTGGTAAGTATTTTAACTCTAATTAAAATATGAAGCCAAGTTGAACAGTCATTTTGGAAACATTAATCCTTGCAACCTGTGGCATACAATATCACAGTGATATTTTCAACATCCATTCTAAAGTAGTACCCTTTATTGGCTGGGTTCAGTGCATGAACACTGATTCTACAGTCAACCTAAAATAAAAAATAAATGTTAAATAACTTATTCTAAGAAAATACTGTCTCACATTTCAAAAAACTTACCAATATACTATTATTTTCATTAAGTACCAACCCCCAAACTGCTCTGTGGCTCTATAAATCATAATTGCAATTTTACTAGAAGTCTGCAGACTAGCCCTCCCCTGCAATGAGAAACTAAATTTATTAATTATGTGTTGTTAAGCACTTTCTAACTCTAATGTACTTCTGTTTACTATAAACTGGCATACTATTATTATTTTAAAAAGTAAATAATGTCTTCACTCTAATAAGAAGCACATATGTTTCACAATATGTTAACTTCCAGTAGAGTTTAAATGCTGAATTTTAAAGAAAATTCAGAGCAATAAATATGGTAGACTTTGATTAAAATAAAAAGACAACATAACAGATTTAAGGATATACACATGAGAAAATCATTAAACAGTGACATACAATAATACAAATGAAAATAAAATATAGTTAAGGGTCAAAGTCTCTGCTATAGGTAGTAAATATTATATATAAATTACTGCTGCACAAAACACACCTGAGTGCAGAAATGCTGTGAAGATGCTCCCTCAATGGCTCCAAGATTAAGCTCAGAATACTGTCCACTTTCAACAATTCTTTTTTTGTTCACTACCTTTTACCTCTCTTCTTCTCTCCCTTCATTCTCTTCTTCTACTCTACTAATCTTCCTTTCACTCATCTATTTATTTTTGATTGGTTCTTTCTAATTACACATAAATGTGGAATTACCTATACTATATTTATATATGCACATAACATGATTTTTAAAAGTTCATTCCACATTTCCTCCCCTTTCCCAATCTTCCTCTTTCTTTCTACATCTCCTTTTCCATACTACTGATATTTCCTATATATTTATGATATCTGGCCCTCCCTTACTTTCCTTTATATGAGCAATTTATTTTTTTCAGTGAATGCCATATGAAAAATGCAGTTTTTTTTTTCTTTCTTGCAGTGCTGGGGAATGATCCCAGGGGCATTATACCACTGAGCTACATTGCCAGCCCTTTTAAAAAATTATTATTATTATTTGTTTCGAGCTTGGGCTTAATTGCCCAGGATGGTCTTGAACTTGGAATCCTTCTGCCTCAGCTTTCTAAGTAGCTGGGGCTTCAGGCATGCATCACCACACCCAGCAAAATGTATCTTTTGATAGTCCCTTAAAGTGTTTGTAGGGGTTATATTCCATTTACACCCAAAGAATCCAATGCCACTCCATTTTGTAAATGTCTTGGATGAAAGGACACAAAATTACACACAGAAACAAGCCAGTTTTATCTTTTGAGACTGCAGTTTTCACTTAACTACATTATAAACAGCTTTTACCTTGTATCTCCTGGTTTTAAAACAAGCCATGTATTCAGGTAGAATAAGGTAGGCAAAATGATGTCTTGCATATTTCTTCCTTTGGACTTGGCAGATACTGGAAGGCAGAAATATGTTGCAGACACTCTCCATAGCCCCCCACAAAGCCAAATGATAATTTAAATAACATCACCCCTCTTCCAGATTTTATCTGGCCTCATTAAAAGGACCTATGAAGTTTGGAGATAGATTTTCATCAACTCATTGAATACCAGGCTGTTGGATTTGAAAGAGGCTTTACACCGTTTTATAAAGCCCCCTTATTTTTATTTAAAAGGCTGAAGTTCCAACTAAGAATATTGTCATTTTGAAAGTAATTATCTGACTACAGCAGAAAATGAAATACCAAGCTCCCAGTTGTAGTTGGTCATGGATTAAAGATTTAGTGTGGGTCAGGGAGGATGTTGAGATGTCCTAGACAACCAAGGCAAGATGTGTCCTTTTTAAAGAACTTTTAAAATGACCCCCACTCAGTTTTCCTTCTACTTTATATTCCAGGGTAGACTCTTATTAATGTAATTGAGTAGTACACAAAAGAAAAGTAGCTGCTATGATGATGCAAATATGTAATCCCAACAACTTTGGAGGCTGAGTCAGGAGGATTCAAAGTTAAAGTCAATCTAACCAACTGACTATTTTTTTAAGTGCTGGGAAAGTAGCTCAGTGATAAAAACACAGCTGGATTGAATCCCTGTTACTAAAAAAGAGAAAAAAAAAGGAAGAAAAATAAAAGAAAAATAAACCTGGAGTTGCTACTCTTGTCCTTGCCACTGTCAAATCACATGAATAAAAAAATATTTACCCTCAGAAGGAACTTTCACAATTAGTAATACAAGTCATACATTAAAAGTAAAATTTTGGGAGGAGGGCTGGGGTTGTGGCTCAGTGGTAGGGTGCTCAACCTATGCATGAGGCACTGGGTTCGATCCTCAGCACCACATAAAAATAAAGATAATAAAGTCCATCAAAAACTAAAAAAAAAATTTAAAAAAAGTAAAATTTTTTGGGCTGAGGCTGTAGCTCAGTGGCAGAGCACTTGCCTAACATGCGTGAGGCACTGGGTTAGATCCTCAGCATCACATAAACGTAAACAAATAAAATAAAGGCATTCTGTTCATATATAACTACAAATCTTTTTTAAAGTACACTTTTTAAACTACAGGAGAAATTTAAAATAAAGTTTAAGCCAATTAGATATTTCCTTAAGTTCACACAATATCTTGTCCCATCTCCTGTGTTTAGCCTAATTAAAGCTTTAAGGGAAATTCAGGAAGATGGGTCTCAGATGGAACAATTTCTGTCAATTCCAGGCACTTATTTTTTGAGTTCAAGTCAAATCAATAAAAATTATTCCAACTAAAATGTGTGTGTGTGTCTGTGTGTGTGTGTGTATGTGTGTGTGTGTGTTTGCATGTGTATATATATGAGAGGGGTATGACTATAGATACAGATGGGCAGCTGCAGTTTCAAACTTCATGTGTCATTGGGAGAGTGTTCAATGTAATCCCCCGCCCCCTTTGCATCAGGGATCGAACTGAGGGTAACTTAACTATTGAGCAACATCCCCAGCCCTTTTTTATTTTATTTTATTTTGAGACAGGGTCTCACTAAGTTGCTTAGGTCTCACTAAGTTGCTACAGCCCCAGCCCCCCAAAATTTTACTTTTAAAATATTTTTTTAGTTGTTGATGGACTTTATTGTCTTTATTTTTATGTGGTGCTGAGGATCGAACCCAGTGCCTCATGCATGATAAGTTGATGAGGCTGGCTTTAACTAATGATCCTCCCACCTTAACCTCATGAGCTATTGGTATTACAGGCGTATATCACTGTGCCTGGCTGAACATGTCTTCTTTGTTCGAAAATCATTTTCTAGGAACTTGGTAAAACCAATCTAAATCAGTCACTTACTGCTGCCTTTGAGAATCTGCTCTGATGTTCAATTTCTCTTGACAAATTTCTCTATTCCCTCTGATCTTTCCCTTTCCCCATGGAAAAATCTCTCCCATACCATTTATAGATTTTACTGCAGTGGATATTGATAAAAGGAACACAGAAATAAAAGCAGATTCCATGACCTGAACTTGTTCTCTCTTGTATACAATTGTAAGAGTAGCTGGGTTTTGCTTTGTGTAATTTAATTTTATTTTCACATATATGGGAATGAGAAACTTCTACCATTTAACCTTTGTCTAAAAATATTTTCAAATAGTATTTATACACAAAACAAAAACAAAAACAAAAAACACCTCCACTTTCAAAACAGCCTAACCCTAAGGCACTAAGTCCATAGGCAGTCTTTTTAGGGCAACAATTCCTGAGTTAAATTTAAGTTACCTCACTGCTATTCAAAATTGTTCTACCAAGGAGGAACAAAGATCAGCATACCACCACTTTCCTGTTCTGATGCTGAACTCCCCTCCACTTAAACTCACTAGGAAGGAAAGGTAGACAGCCAGGGCTGTGATACAGGTTTGGACATGCTTGGGGCCCATCTCTGAAAACCACATAATTAAAATATTTTGTCTCTTCTTTATTCCTCCACAACAAACTGTATACCTATTTCCCTTTTTGAGTCTAGTGAAATTACATTAGCAGATTATTTTCCTCTCAATCAAGGTTTATGGCTGCTGTGCATTGATCTCCATTTTAATCTATGTGGATGAAGGGAAATCAAGTGAAAAGGCAATATATTAAATGATGTAGAGAGTGAGAAGTGATAGCTGACACTTTAAGTTCTACAAAACAATTTAGCAATTAATTATCTTTGGCTATATCATGAGCTGTCAGTTCATGAGTGCATGTGTGTCTCCTATGAACAATGAACCACACAATTCCCCACTAACCTAAATACATGCTTTATGCAGGAATAAAAACTAAGACCCAGAGAGGGGAAGTGGGTTCATCACTGCACATGTAAGGGTTATTATACTTGTTCCTCACCACTATCACAATGAAGGCTGGTTCTTTTTAAAATCCCATTTCATCTTCTGCAAAGGGTTGACATTCTAAATAGTGATTTATTGATGGGAATTGGAGGGGATGGGTACTCTGAGAGGAAAACAATTAGCCTTTGAGGGATAGAGTGGTTAAAAGTGCATTGTTAGCAGAGGTAGACAAGCAACTACTGGGCATTTTGTGTGTAAGGGATGGAAACTGGATTTAAAAGTCAGATTGTGTCTCTATTTGCTTTCCAGGCAGGAGCATTATCTTGTTCCAATCCAGCAAAGACAGAGGACTGCAGTTTCAGATGCAAACCAAGGGAAGATTTAGGGGCTTAAACTGTTCCCTGGCTCTACCCTTCCCCAGAGGGCCTAGGATCTAGTGCAGAATGTCCAGCCTTGGGAGCTTTCCTCTTAAGTTTTCTTAGTCATTCAGGCAGTCAGTACAACTGCCATTGCTGTCGGAGATAACATTAGAATGCATAGGGGCCACCCTCTGCCTGAAGTCAGTATGTGTGCTCCTCCATTCCACCCCCCCGCCTTTACCTCCTTCTCTCTTCCACCCCTCCCTCAATATTGGATGAAACCTGTGTATTCAAAGCACTCTCAAGATGGGGCTAGCTGGATAATCATTATTGGGCTCCAGAACGATTAGCCTCCCACTTATCTACCCCTTTTCCAGCCGAGGTGTGGTCTCTCAGCTATATCAATTCTTCCCCAAGGACAGCTCTGAGGTGGGTGGGGTGCCTCTTGAATTGAGAGTGATAGCTCAGGGGTTTCTGACTGAATCCTTGACAGGGCTAGATGACTGGGAATTCCCTGCGGTATCCACCTCCTTCCCCAACACACAAACAGATGCCCAATCGCGCAAAGCAAGAAACACACACACACACACACACACACACACACACACTCTCTCTCTCTCTCTCTCTCTCTCTCTCTCTCTCTCTCTCTTTTTCCTGCCCCTCCTTACTGCTCTCTCTTCCCTTCCCCCTCCGTTTCCCGCAGTGACCAGGAGCAGACTTGTCTTTGAAAGGGGGCAGCCAGGGAAGAACCCGGCTTTACAGGAAGCCATATCTAGCAAGTTGGGGGTCCTGCTGCCACAGCTAAAGCACAGGAATCTGTATTGGACGCCAGCAATGGGAAAGAACGAGTGGCTCCTGCGCTCCCTCAGGCCACAGTTCTGTTCTCAGCCACAGCTGGATCCACAAGCAGGTGTCATGGGGATGCGCATCCTAGGACTGAGCGACCAGGTTCAACCCCACAGATCACACCCCCCACTATCGAGACAGCCTCCACCTCCATGGACTATCAGGGTGCCTCAAGTCCACAGCCCTCAGCACAGGTGCGCCACGCTCTCCGCCATTGTCTCTTCCCAGCCCCCAGCTGCATTACCAGTCCTAGTGGCGGGAGTCTGAAACCAGTTCTTGAAAATGGGGAAACTGAGGTGCAGAAAGCTTAATAAAGCTTTTTGCTCAAGGATATGTAGAAGAATGAGGCAGGATCTGGGAGGGACCCCAGGCTTTCAGAATTCCAGTCAACCACACTTTTCCCATTTGTAGTCTAATGCTGACTCCCCAAATCCTGAAGCACTCATCAGAACCCAGGCACACGAACTGCATCCGTCCTCAGGAGTGTTTTCTCACACATTGAGCTCGTTCTCTCTTGACACCCCATCTCTTTAGCCCAGCTCCGTGTGCCAGTGCCAAAGCCCCGCGACCCACCCACCCATCCTTCCAGGCATCTGTTGGTGTGCGGACCAGTTGGCGCCAGGGTGGGGGTGGGGCCTACCTGGGCGGTTCAACTGAGCTGGGCTCTGGATGATGCCGCTGTTCCAAAGGTGCAGGATTGTGCGAAGGGGGCAGAGGTGCCAGCTGGAAACTGCTGCAGCAAGAGAAGCTCACTGGAGCCGATGTCTCCCTCAGCAACTGTGCGCAACCAAGAACTGTTCAACTTTATTTAGGGGAAGGTGGTCACGTGGGCGCGCGCCCGCGAAGCTGAGAAGCGTGGCGAATGAAATCAGGTCACCTCGTACCGCCCGCCTCCGCCTACCCCAAGTCCGCCCCACCACTGCTAGGAAGGAAGCCGCACACTGCCTGGTAGGGGGGCGGGAGGGTGCGTGGGGGAGACTGGTTTATTCCAGTCTCTTACTCATGGGAATTTGGCTGGAATTAATTAGGAGGCTGAAAGACAAGTTGAAATTCTGGCGAGAAATGTTTGCACAGCCCTGAGCTCTGGAAAGGTGAAAACCACATCTGGATGAACACCTCATCTTAGTAACAGGGGCCTTGGCCATATTCATTGTTAGGTCCCCAATGTTTAAAACAGTGCTTCCACACAGAGGTGGCGCTCGGCTCCGTAACAGCTGGTTGGAATTGAGGGAATTTAGAACAAAGGGGCCGTCTTGACTGGGAGCTTTGTGGTTGTTTAAAACCAAGACCCTTATCTTTCTTACCCTATACCTCTCTTCACTGCTAAACTTGACGAAGTCCCACCCTGGGGGGTAAAAATCACCTAACTGCTCTTCTGAGAAGTGTCCCATTTCTGAGGGATTTTTTTAATTGGATCCCTGAGATAAGCAGGCTCACATGGGATAAGCCACTTTGGTCCATCAAGCTGAGAACTGAAACAGAGGCACAGACCATCATAATTAGAGCATACATAGAGTTTGAGAGTTCCACATTTTCACCTTAGAGCCGAGCAACACATGGCTCAGACGAACTTTCCCTCATTTCCTTAAGTTCCTCACTTACCCAGCAAGGTTCATCGATGCTCAGTTTGTAACAAAGCTAACTACTTTGTCTCTAGATAACTCAGACATTTGCTCCTGCAAATGAACCTTATTTGAGAGGGAGATTTAGTAGATGAGCCTCCTCAAGGAAGAAAGATCTTGTCAGTCTTCTGTTTGAAAGATGAGAAAGTCTGCTCTCTTTGTGGAACTGCAAAGCTGCTGAGTTGGAAAGCTAAGTAATTTCAAGCCTAATTACATTTATTTGTCTATTTCTTTTAAGGTCCACAACATGATAATTCAGATATCCATAACATTTCAAATACCATTTGATTCCACACCTTTAGAGCCTGTAATCCTTAGTCTGGAAGATATCATGGGGCCATATCACTTTAGTTTTCTGAAAACATCGAGGGCCCTTAAGTTTGGCAAGACTTCCATGGAGAGAGATGCTAACATTTCCTTGAGACACTACTACAGTATTTAATGAACTTCACATTCAGAAAATTATTTCTGTATCTTTCTCTCTAAATGTATCTGGTTAAAATTGTTTCACATAGTCTTTATCCATTTTTCTGTTACAGGACACTTAGGCTGGTCGAAGAAATTGGCTATTATGAATTACAGGACACTTAGGCTGGTCGAAGAAATTAGCTATATTGGGCTGGGATTGTGGCTCAGCAGTAGAGCGCTCGCCTGGCACAGGAGGGACCCGGGTTCGATTCTCAGCACCACATAGAAATAAAATCATTGTTTTGTGTCCATCTACACCTAAAAAATAAATATTAAAAACATTAAGAATTGCTATAGTATGTTGACTTTAATGCTTTTGAGTAAAGAAAATGTGGACACAATGGAGTTTTATTTTGCCATAAAGAATGAAATTATGTCATTTGCAAGAAGATGGATAGAACTGGAGAGCATTATGTTAAGTGAAATATGCCAGACTCAGAAAGTCAAAGGTTGTCTGTTTTCCTCTCATATTAGAAAGCTAAAGAGAAAAGAGGAAAAAAAGAGATCTCATGAAAATAGGAGGGAAACAAGTAGAGGAAGAAGATCAGGAGTGAGGAGGTGAGAGGAAGAGAAGATACTGGGAAATGAAATTCATTAAACTGTGTGCACATACAAATATGTCACAATGAATCCCACTATTAGGCATAATTATAATGAGTCAACATTAAAAAGAGAAAAAAAAAAGTGTTTCACACAGATGTTGCAATAGCCACTGACAATGAACTGTGATGCTCTATGTATTGAAAGCTGCTATAGTTTGAAACCATGCATCCTCTCAAAAACTTAAACTTAACCCTAAATGCAAAAGTATTAAGAGATGGGGCTTTTAGGTGATTATTAGGCCATGAGAGCTGGACCCTCATAAATTGGATTAGTGCTTCATAAAAATAATAGAGGGAAATAGCTAGACTTTTTTGGACATCTACCTTTAGACACATGGAAGGTACAGGGTTACTCTCTTAACCTCTTTGGCCATGAATGGATACACCAAGATGTGTCTCCTGGAAGAGTTTGAAAAGAGTTTGAAAAGCTTAACATAAAAAAAAAAAACAAATAACCCAATCAATAAATATGCAAGCTGGGCATGCCTGTAATCCCAGTGGCTTGGGAGGCAGAGATAGGACAATCACAAGTTCAAAGCCAGCCTCAGCAAAAGCGAGGCACTAAGCAACTCAGTGAGACCCTATCCCAAAATAAAATAAAAAATAGGAGTGGGATGTGGCTCAGTGGTCCAATGCCCCTGAGTTTAATCCCTGGTACCAAAACAAAACAAAGCAAAATAATAATAAATGTGCAAAAGATCTAAACTGGTGTTTCTCAAAAGGAGATATACCAATGAACAACAAATATATGAAAAAAATTTTCAACTTCCCTGGCAATCAGGGAAATGCAAATCAAAACTACATTGAGATTTTATCTCATTCCAGTGAGAATCACAATCATCAAGAAAACAAATAAAGATAAATTCTCATTAAGACTGTGGGGGAAAATGCACACTCAGATATTGTCGGTTGGACTGCAAATTAGTACATCCACTTCAGAAAGCAGTATGGAGATTTCTGAAAAGGATAGGAATAAAACCCCCATATGACCCAGCTACCCCATTCCTTGGTATTTATCCAAAAGAACTAGCATGCGCATACTATAGCAATACAGGCACATCAGTGTTTATAGCATCACAATTCATGATAGCCAAGTTATGGAAGCAGCATGGGTGCCCGTTAGTAGAGGAATGGATAAAGAAAATGTGGCATATATACACAATGGAGTTTTACTTAGTTAAAAGAAGAATGAAATTATGACATTTGTCAGTGAATAGATGGTAGTAGAGAGAATTATGCTAAGCGAAATAAGCCAGAATGAGAAAATCAAGGGTCAAAAATTTTCTTTCCCATGAGGAAGCAAGAGTGTAAGGGATAGAAAGGAGGTAAGGGTAGAGGGAAGATAAGTGGAGTAGAAGGAGGAGATTAAGAGCGTTGAAGGAGGGAGCAATGGGGAGGAAATGTGTAAGGAATCTATCAAAATTATTCTGTGGACATGTGTAAATATACCACAGTAAATTTCACCTTTATGTATATCTAAAGCACTAATTATCAATCAATTAATCTATCAATCAATGGAAATCAGTATAATAGAGGATGGGGAATAAGGGGAGGGAGAAAATGAGGGAAAGAGGAGGTATGGACTGAAAAGGAGCAAATTAAATTCCATGGATGTATGATTATGTCAAAATGAACCAAATCATGCATAATCATAATACAATAATAAAAATGTTTTTTAAAAAAGATTTACTCCTATCATTTTGTTCTTTTTTTCCTGGCTGTTTTGAATATCCTTTGTCCCTTTCTATTTTGCATTCATTTTTATAGTTTGTTTTTCTCCTCTAATAAGGTTTGATTGTTCATTTTTAATCTTTATTTTATTTTTATGTGGTGCTGAGAATTGAACCCAGTGCCCCATGCATGCTAGGCAAGCGCTCTACCTCTGAGCCACAACCCCAGCCCCTGATTCTTCTTTTTCTTTAGCATCTGTTCTTGTTTTCCACTTCCTTCATTTAAGTGTGTGTTCATGATGGTCATTATCTTTCTTTTCCTTCTAGATCTAGAAGTTCCTTTGGTCTCTCCCTCTCTATCCTTCCATTATATACACACACACACACACACATATATGAACATATACATATATATATACACATATATATATATATGAACATATACATATATATATGTATATATAACATATATATATGTATATACACATATATACATACATATATATATACACATGTGTATATATATATATATATATATATATATATATATATATATGAAGGATAGCTTTTTTGGATACAGTGTTCTTGGTCAGCAGTCATTATTTTTCAGGATTTTGAATGTGTCATCCTTTTGTTCTCCTGACCTGTAAGCTTTCTGCTGAAAAGATTCTTGTTAGTCTAATGAGGGCTCCCTTAAATGTAACCTGGTGCTTTTCTCTTGCAGTATTTGGAATTCTTTCTTTGTGTTGGATTTTGACATTTTGAGTATAATATGTTACAGAATAGAACATTTCATGGTCCATTTTGTTACACGTGATTTACGCTTCCTGATTCTGGATGTCTGTAATTCTTACAATGTTGGGTGAAATTTCTAGCTACTTTTCCATTGAATATGTTTTTGTACTATTTCCTTTACTCCATCTGAAGCACACATAATTCTATCATTTGTTTCCTTAATCAGATCACATAATTCTTGGTAGTATTTCTTTATTCATTCTGTGTGTGTGTGTGCGTACAAGCGCGCATCTCTCTGCCTGGGATATATCAAAAGACATGACTAAAAGTGGAGACATTCTTTTGGTTTATCTAATGTGTTTTGGAGGCTTTAAATTATATATTTTATTTGACTTATTGAGTCCTTCAGTTCCAAGAGTTTTGTTTGGTTATTTTTTATTATCTCTATTTTTACTCTATTTCTTCATTCAGGTCATGAATTGTTTTCCTAATTTCTTTGGCTATCTTATTCTCTTATATATTATTGAGTTTCCTTAGAATTATTATCTTAAATTATCTTCAATTAAGTCAACAATTTTCATTTTGGGGGGGGGGTCTGTTGCTGGCGATTTATTGGCCTCATATAAAGTCAACGTGTGTCCTTGTGTTGATATTTGCATATAAGACTTGTTCTATTATTCCTACCAGTTTCATAGTGTAGCTTTGATATTGAAAGGCTTTCTTCTATAAATATGTCTTGAGGTGTT